AAACTTGGAGTCCAGCAGAGGTGCCTAAAATAAGTCCCAATTGGAGTCAAGTTGACTCCGATGGAGTAACGCCATCCCAGACCCTACAGGAGGGTCACAATTGACTCCATTCACACATCCCTTCATCCTTCATGCATTGGCGTGTCAAAGCTACAACCTGGAAACAAAACCTGCTGACCTGTATACCAACATATCACATAAAGGGTATGGGCAACTGAAAGCCCGGGCCAGTAATAAGTGCACGAGTTCTGCATGCAGAAACACACAGAAAACCACTTGTTCATGCATAAAACCAACTATGGCCAATAAAGTAATGTTTATTCTAACAAAGGATGATGAAAACTGTTCTCTCCACGCGGTATACTGTCCAGCGAGCGAAAAGAGTCGGTGAAAAGGGTCAGCCAGACACTGGCCCCCGGTAATTTGACTCTGATTTTAGAGTCAGATTGACTACATGAGAGCCAGGGGGTGATTGACTCTGATAAAAGAGTCTAAAGACACTGGTAGTGGGGTAATTTGACCCTTATATAGGAGTCAAATTAACTCCATGAAAGTCAAGGGGTGCTGGACTCTGACTAGAGAGTCAAATGACTTCAATTTATTATCAGTGTTTGATATCATAGGGCCCCTAAATACTGTACAAAATCACACTGTCGCGGTTCTCACTGTGGCGCATAACAGGATACCGTGAACTGTTAAGTTCGCCCCATCTTTACAGCTGGACTTATTCATCTCATTGTCTGTACAAATGGCCATCACCTGCGTCTTTCGATGCCGTCGCCGTCCCCGTGTAATTCCAATGATAACACGATACGTTGAAACCAGTTCTCTTGTCCTAAAATTAAAAGTATGGAGCTGAAGAATATTCATTAAATACAGGTCGAGGTTGAAAATGGGCATGATCCAGCCATTTTTTCAAAAGTTATGCTGTATTTTCGCTTTTTTCCAGCATATATGCAATACTGATAACACATTTCAAGGAAAACCGATCGGCCCTTTGTCTTGAAACACACAACAGTGATCAATCTTAGATCTACTAAAATCTTACTAAGATCAGACCATTTTTACAAAAGTTATGCCTTTTTTCAGCATATTTTATCCGCCGTTTACCCCGAGTGTCAAGCCACAGTAAAGCTAGCTTGTAACTGTTCATATCACTTTACTGGCCCTGAGGAACAGTGACAATGTTCGGTATCCGTCAGCCAAAAATGACTGCTCCGCAGTGAATCTACAGTTGAATGTCATTAGTCCAAAATGAAACAGAAAACAGATTTAATTTTGCTTTATTTAATTTTATTTACTGCCCAGCAGGCATAGTCGCGTCGGATCAACGTTGAAAACAGGTTGATACGTTAAATTGCCGTTGATCTACCTAAATTCAACGTAAAATCAACGTTGATCCAGCCACATCAAAACACCATGTGACGTTGACTCAACGTTGTATTTTGGTCATTGACACAACCTTGCAGACATGGATTATTGAAAACGTGATACTTTGTTTATCAATACTGTAACTAACTTTATCAAAATAAAAAAGTGTTTTAAAGAAAAAGTGACAGTTGTTTTGTGTCTTTAGTGAACTAGTGAATTTTCTTAACTTGTTATTCAGATATACATTCCAATAAACTGAATTCCTTGCAAAGTCAGCTAACACTAGGATGAATAAGTTACTGTAAATGTGATGGAGTGAAGTTAATAAAGTTGACAGTTCTCGGTACCCTGGTATAGATAGACAGGTTGAAGTGACTGTGACTTCTTATATAAGAAAATAACTATAGGCCTATATATATTTATCTAAACCTTGGAAATTTTAACTTAAAGGCCATACATATATACCCTACATATATTTAGCCATCAAACATGTCCTACTGCTAAACAGATCCAGGCTAAAAGGGTGTACCATGCTTAGGTGCAAAACATGCTTAGGAGCAAAATGCGTTGAAAAAATCAGACAAAGCAGGCACTTGGATGTTTTTACAGTGTACGTTATAATTGTGTACCTGTGTTTTGTACCAAAAATAAAAACATTTCAGGTCATTTTAATGTCTTTTCATGCAAGAATGTTGTCTAACAACTGGGGTTGATACAATGTTGTTATCTGACGTTGAGTCAACTTTCAAATCCAATGTTTATCCAACGTATTATCAACGTAATGGTTCAACTTTTTTTCAACGTTAAAACAACATAATTTGCCCGCTGGGTTTAGTCCTTTTTTTTTTTTTTTTTTTTTTGCTTATCAAAAACATTTGCTCCTGGAGATAAACACAATACACGTGCTTGCCGTGTGCCAGGTTTGACAGCTACATTGTATGCCAATATCACTATAAGGACTGCGCAATGGCTACACCAAAAACCAGTTTTTAAGCAGAAAGTTGCTTGTGTTGTGGCACGTACTTTCGATTGCAATATATTATTAGCTCAAACTTCAAACTCCGCGTCAGCCACTTTGCTTCTTGTCTCGTCTGCACGAGATAACGTCAGCGCAAGGCGGGAAAGGCAGCTCCAGGCGGGACAGAGCTGTGACGTACGAGACTAGTGACATCCAAATATGGAAGCGCCCCAGGCAAAATTTTGCCTAATACGCCCGTTATTTGACGGTGGTGGCTAGAGTCTGTTTTGCTGATATGGGTTATATAAGAAATCAAGATCGAGCTGGCAAAACTGAAATCTAGAACCTAGGGTATCCGCCGTTATACACATAAAAAGAATATTATATTGTGCTTTGAAACTTGCACGACTGATTCCCAGTACTAATTATTTTTTTGGTTTATACCTTTTTTGTATATCAGTGTTTTTTCTTTAGATTCAATTCGTACGCATGCTAACTGTATTAGTTTTTAAATTCTCAGATATTTAAAAGTGTTATTTTTTAAACATTTTCCCTCTAAACAATTATGTTAGTTGATAAAAAATATGATGGTAAATCAGTTATTGTACATTATGTAGTAGAGTGTCAACATTTGAATAAAATCAAACAGAGCCGTTTGTCAGATCTTTCACTATGAGCGGAGGAAATTAGACGTTTAAACTTGTTCTATTGTAATTTTTCCAATCTCAACAATTTTGTTAGTTGATCAAATAAAAATGATAGTAAATTGTTTATTATGAATAATGTAAAAAATGGTTGAAAATGGAAATAAACTCATTCCAGTACAAATATCTCTTGTTTACAAGTTGACTTTTTCAAGGTGTGACCTCTGCTAGTCACATTTTCTAAATATGCACGTAATCTGCAGTGCATAATTAAAGGTTGGTGGTGATTATGCTGTTAAGCATTATGTAATATTGCATCAAAATAAAGAAAAACCCTATTTTAGACACCAAAGTAACCGTTTAAAGAAAACCATGTCATTTACTATTCTCAAAATTACAAAAAAAGAAACAAAGGACTAAAATACAGCTTGATTTGGAATTTTTCACATATTGGCATTTTCAAGGTGTGGCGTTGAATTCCCATGGGTTTGAAGACCTTTTTGTAGCAAATGAAATTTTTGCCCAGACAATAAATGTTCATGAACCATTGCTCGAAGAGTCCCTGCTATTGGACTTAAAATGAAGAGCTACTTCTAGTGCAAACTTTCGTTTCAAATATCTTGCCAGGACTTTGACTTCAGTTTTTTGTCGTTTTGAATGCTTGAAATTGAGAAATAAAGAATAGCTTTCACACATTTGCAGACAAAGAAAAATGTGTTTGATACATTTTCAGATGCGAATGATACGATTTTAACTACGTTTTTGTTATTCATGTAGGTCACTTTCAAATACTATCGAAAACAACTGTAATGAGAGATATAAACATCAGCAACTTATAGTTTTATTCCAGTGGAATTCTTTCTTGACTGTGTATGTAATGCAGAAAAGAAAAAAAGAAGAAAAAATGAGTATCATAGAAGAATGAACCATTATATTACAGTACATTATGTTATTTTGTTTTTAATTTTATGAATATATTATTTATTTGCAGCACGCAATTGTGAAATTACGTGATAAAAATGAAGATTGTCGCTATCATCGCCATTGTATTGATGTTTTCTTTGGGTTAGTACATTGACAGTATTCATAACTTGACACAAATGGAATATAAACAAAAACATCAGTATACACCTTTTCTTGTTTGTTTCTGCGATGCTGTACAGGGGTAGGTGTTGCAAAACATATTTAGCACAAATTGGTTACAGACCTTGTGGTAAAAGGTAATCGGTTCGAATATGAGAGACACTGTTATAGTCACAAATAACGATGGTCTGGAACTTTCGAACGTTTGTTCATGGAGTATTTGTACTCTATTTTTCCATACTGGTAATGCGTTTTACGGTTTACTTTTTTCTTTCCATTGTCTTTCACCCCATTTCCATAGATTTTTAGATCGATCTATCCCTGCAGGGAGTCTCACTAGATTACTGTCAGCTTGGCCGGCTTAAGCGTCTGTCCCGCCTACTGAAAGCTGTAAGGGGGTAATTAACTATGGTGCCCGCTCGGCTGACTGCAATTTAGCGTGAACCCCCAGGGAGTTAGGTGGATCTAAATCTTAATCTTTAGATCGATCTAAATCTCTGGGAAAGCACCCTTTGACTTGATTGCAAGGAATGTTTCCATTCTCATGTTTCAACTACCATTGAACATTCCTTATTAGGTAATTTATACTAATTACTCGTTCTTGGACCATGCCCATCCTTAGTTCGCATGTGTTTTACACGTGTCAGGAACTTATAAGTTTATTGAGAAATTAACCAATCAAGTTTAACAATATGTGACTTTGACATGTTCCCTCTTTTTCTACTACGAAAATAATTTCTACACTTGTTAACTCTTAACGAAATTTAACTTATACCAAATAAAACCTTATTCTTTTACTCATTTGATTCCGTTTTAATTATTATCTGCAATTAGTGAAAGTGAAAGTCATTTACTTTAAAACAGCTCTATAGTCAGTGAGCTTTGAAAGGCAAATTTTGTGACTTTTATGCTGAACGGATAAGAGCCATGTTTCTGTTAAATTTTCAGTGGTTGAGGAGGCAAACGCTGGGTCTGGCTGTCCAACAAAGGAGACGATATGTGATGACCACTGCAAGAGTCTCGGTTACTGCAAAGGCAAGTGCGAGTCTTTCCTTTGGATGAGGTGCACGTGCAAGACCAGTTGCTAGACGCTGGAAAATTAAACAGGTAAATCTAGATATTAAGTATATATTTCTTTTGAATACATACCAGTAGCCTATAAGGTTTGAGATTACTACAGTAACTTATTATTGTTAAAAAAATAGTTTTTTTATTCAAAGTGGTTTAATTGTGTCATGATTTGCTTTTTCAACTGAACATAAATTATAACCTGATATTCTTATAATAATGCATAAATAATATATTTTTATTATAATGCACTTTTTAGGCGCACAGCAAAATGAAAGCTGAATACTAGCAGGCATGTTGGAAACAAAGCTTTGTTCAATTTTAATGTCAGATTGAATATATGGAAATTTTGAAAAGTGGCATTTTGGTAAATAAAAATTATTGAAACAATATATTTTCATGTGCTTTTATACGGTGTTTAGAGCTTTTGAGAATCGTGAATAGTTTGAGAAGTGTACAGGACAAACCCAGTCTGAAAATTTCTAAAATGTGTCATTATTTTAATTGGATTAAGATAGTATCAAGTCTGTATTCAATGTACCGCCACTTAGGTATTATTAAAGTAGTGACTAAATGTTTAATTTTCTCTCTGGTATCCTCTTTTAAGATTAATTAAAATTACCTTTCTTTGTCTTTCTGTTTTATATCTCACCCTTTCTCCCTCTCACTCTCGTTCCAATGCTCAATGCTCTCTACTATCTTAAAAGTGATATAATTTTCATTTTAACCTTACACTTTACCTCTCATTTACCTCTTTCATATGAAAATAAAATTATGAAATCAGGAAAATTAGAGATACATATTCTTGAAAGGGATTATTTTCCCTTTTCAGAGTTTCAGGTAGATGGGAATTAAAAGTCGCCTTTTGGAAAAGCCAGTGTTTGAAAAAAAATGAAAATTAAAATACAAATAAAACATAACAATATAATATAGCATTAATGTTGGCATGGCACAATATAATTTTTCTTTCGTAAACTTATTTGCAATATTAAACAACATTTACCTGCGTAATTATCACTGATTCCTTATTATGTGAGACTTAATTTAGACTTTTACAAACTGTATCTGGTAGAGAGCTAAACCTATGGGTTTACAGGGAAGTCACAACGTGTGTTTTATGTTATTTCATTCAATGGCCACTTGAAATTTAATTATGCAATTGACTTAATAGCTCTGAACTTAGCTAGTGATTATCCAAGGGGCATTTACAGACTCACCATCCGTTGTATCCATATAGCCCAAAGACTATGTGAAAAATGAAAATTTCATAAAGAACTGCATTGCTTACAAAACAAATGACAATCACACTGATTTTCCAACACAAGCTGCACTTGAGTCCTAAAATCTTTTCAGTACGTTTGAAAATCATAAGTAACATGGATGTGAATTATCAAGCACAAGCCAAAAACTTTCATACCGTTAGCTTACGGCCAACCTGGACGTAGGCCTTCATCAGACTGATGTGAGTAGATGTTGACACTCACGGACCGCTAGGTGGTACAGCGGCCAGGACAATCTCCCCTCCCCGGAAAATGCCCCCACGGACGATTCCCCCCCCCCCCAAAAAAAAAAAAAAAAAAAAAAGAAAAATGAATGGTGCACCACTTTCTAACCCTGTAAAAGTTTTAATTATTAAATTCATTGGTAGGAGAATTTTCAGAAAGTCTTACAGACAGAAAAATGCCACAGAGAAGTAAAATACTATGTGGCAGTCCTTTTGAGAGAAATACTGGTGAAAATTAANTATATATATATATATGAAGTAAGGAGTATAAAGTTCAAAACATTTCGTCCATTTTATTTATGTTTTAGTGTGATAATACAACTTCATCATCAAACAAATTATTTTATAACAAATTCCTTTCTCATTGAGTACAAATTGAGAAAGTAATATATCTTATCAAACTATAACCCTCTATTCTCAGGTAAGGGGTAAACAGATGAAAAGGCAAACATATTTAAGTGTATTGGGTAGGTGGATAGTAGTCAAGGAATTCATAGTGACAGATAATTAAAGGGATACCTCTATAAGTGAGAAAATCTGTTAACCACACCACTCCCTAGAAATGCACCTTGATTCAAGGCTTACTCATCAAGGGATGAGTAATGAAACAATTCAAAGTAAGAGTTAATTCATCAAAGGGTTACCCGGATGTGTGAGATCATTTGTTTACCACACTTTACCTGGAGATGTACTTTGATTAGATTTTTCATAAAATTTTCTGTACTTCTATTTCTTAATTTTTCTGTACTTGTACTCCATGAAAATAATTTGTTTAATGAATTCAATATTCTTTATGCGTGAGTTGCATCATACATGACACAAGGAAATATTCAATCAATGGATGAAAAAGATTTAAACTTTTTACTCTGTACTTTATTTTTGTATATAAATATATATTCCTTGGGAGATATCTTCGGGGGGGGGGGGATTGTCCTGATACCGCAAGGACTGTCTTACAAATGTCAGGTAGATTGATATTGACTTAGGATATGTATGAATATAATAATTTTATAATAATTGTAATAATGCTTTCGTTTCATTGTATACAGAACGTGCAAATGTTTCCAGACTTAAACCGACATATCTCCGTATAGGCAACGGGAGTTCCAGTCTGTTGTTATTATTTCCATTATTCGTCAAAACATGCACCGGTAAACAAATACATGGATATTATTCTCAGATTGCTCTTACCAATCGTTAAAGTCACATTTATCCTATGATAGTTTTAGTAGAGTAGTCGTACAGAGGGCAACCTAGCAGGTCTGCTCGTAGAGTGATATGGTTGTGGAAACTGACCGGGTTAATTCTCACGTACCTGGCCACTAAAGGGGGGTCAAGATAACGCACCTGGGGGACGAAGGGGTGCCAGTTACCTTCAAACACCTGGAAATAAGACAAGCAGACTATAGGGATAGCACAAGAAACGCTGTAGAGCTGGCGTTACAAATACAGGTTGAAGATTATAAGGAGTCAAAAGAACGCGGTAATATTTTCATCAGCATTCATATCAAAGTTCAATACTGTGCCTACCTATTACACGTACACCTACTTAAGGCTTTAGTCTACTCTGGTTTAGCCCTCGGTAGTCGTCTTTTTTCTGGACAAATTTGTAGCGGAATAATAATTAATAAAGGTAACCACTTGCCTCGAGTAACAATGTTGATACATTCTAGACACACTGGACAATAGAAGTGTCACCCCCTGAATCAGAGTAATCAAAGTTATAATGCCTGGTCTACTTATGTGACTAAAGAGTATAAATCCGCTGTACCATGGAATAGTATTTTTGTTTTTTTTTTTGTGAAATTTGATGTTAATAAAATGATACCAGGAGCATATCATTCCGTGGTCATTTATCTCCCCCTAAGTATTGGTTCAGTAGGGGTGACACTTCTATTGTCCAGTGTGTGTAGAATACAGGGAAGACCGAGGCTAGTTGGATCCTGGGGTAATTTGGAAAAAGTACGAAGTAAAAAAAAAAGGTACGAAGTAAAAATCTGATCTCACAATCTTGTACAGTGACCATGTCACACAGTGCCAAGAAAAATCGGTCGTTGAGTCCAAATGAAAGTTTGAAAAAGAAATGTCTAAATTTAACGTAGTACATTCTAGCACCAAAATGGCTGTAATCCTTAAAAATTAGATTGTGCGCCTGGCCATGGGCTAGTTGGACCACTAGGCTCGGGGAAAGCTGGACCCTGTGCCTTGTTATGATTGTTCAATACAAATTCAAAATATTGAAGGGAACTTTCAGAAACATCAAACTTTTTGCCTGAAATGGACTACAATTTAAGCAAAGACTTTCAAAATAAAAATATGAATAAATTCGTCAAAATACACTTTCTGCTACATTATTTAAGTATATGGTGCCACCTTGCCCCGACCTTGGGGCTACGTGGCTCACAATTTGAATAATAAATAAATAAATAAATAAATAAATAAATAAATAAATAAATAAATAAGAATTATGGTATCAAAGTAAAGACCAGCTTTTGGGCTGAAATTCTTGTTGAATTAACAAAAAGTCAGATTGGACAGACGCACCACTTCCTGACCGTGGCTCCCTCTATACAGGCTCAAGTTGTTCAAGTCGTTGCCATAGTAGATGCGATAAGCGGTGACAAACTGGTATTCTGCCATACTACTTCCCCAGCCTTCTCTGCCCAGAGTGATAACACTAGTGATCTGAAGTGAAATAGACACATCTCATGTAGTGGGTGATGTCTGCCCAGAGTGATAACACTGGTGATCTGAAGTGAAATAGACACATCTCGTGTAGTGGGTAATGTCTGCCCAGAGTGATAACACTGGTGATCTGAAGTGAAATAGACACATCTCGTGTAGTGGGTGATGTCTGCCCAGAGTGATAACACTGGTGATCTGAAGTGAAATAGACACATAGTGACGGACAGACACATGACAGACAGACAGACAGACAGACAGACAGACACATGACGGACAGACAGGCGGCGAACAGACACATGACAGACAGATGGACGGAGAGACATACAGATGGATGGATGGATGGATGGATCTAACGGTGTCAGGATTTCCCCCAATTCTGTAATGAATATCATACTGAGAAAGAACAGTTGTGATAAACTTCGCCTTTCATCAAAATGTATCTCCAGGTAAAGGTGGGTTAAACAGATATCTCACTCATTCAGGTATCCCTTTGGTGAACTAACCGAAATTTTAATTGTTTAAACTCCCCCCCCCCCTCCCCATTTAGTTACATTGCCTGGCTTTAATCAAGGTGCATCCCCAGAGACGACACATGTCCAGCTATCAGCAGCTACATTTGCATACTGAAGTGAATCCAGCTTACCAATCTTGGGAATTCTAAATCAAATTGCAGCCATTCCTGGACGCCTCCACTGTAGGCACTCCATCCACCGTTACCATTATCATCAGACACTAGGTGAATACGTGCTTGCTGTGGAAGGTGCTTGTACCACCAGGTGTCTATGTTAAAGTACGAAGACGCTGTTATAGCGCTGTCTGGGATGGGATACTTGCCGGACACCAAGATGTCCGAACACTGACCAGACTGACCAGTGTCCGCAGCCCCCAGGGGGATGACCAGCATTAAGATAGGTAGGAGAATACGAGGGTACATTCCGCCAGTCTGCGCCGTCTACCTGTTAACTAGAACGCGCTAGTCCCCAACAGTCTGTGACAACAGTTACTGTGCCTGATGTAATATGTTGACATTGAAGACATTCAGGGATCAACCCGCCCTGGTGTGACTGATAACCAAGTCAGTTTAAGTAATCAAGACGACATACATAGAGGTTATGTCAACCAACACAAGTCACAGGGAGAGGTAGACTGTACCATTATAAACACGGAGAAGAGGAAATGATAGCTTTGATCTAATTATTTTCCCAAAAATATAATTGAGATGAAAAAAATATGATATGTAAGTGTTGGACTTCATTCATAAAGAAAGTGAAATTTTACTCAAAACAGCCTGCCATATTTGTAAATTTGTTGTTGCTTTATATCCATTTGGATAGACATGAACGCTGGTTCATCAGATAACGATATGGCCTACAGTTACAAAATTAACAGTATTTCTCTGGTTACGTCTCTATCCTCTGGTCATACTCTCTCCTCACGGGGATATCGGCCTGAATTGTTAGGCTGCTTGAACGTGCGATTGCATATAGCAGCACAATGACGTGAAAAGGTGTTTTATAAAGCTTCCTTTTTGTCCCACTGTTATCTCGAACTTTCAGGCTGTAATAACCAGTCGGTGGTTATACACTTGTTCTAAGAGTTACATTTTCACCAATAAGTCAACTGAGACAGGCAGGAATAGTTTTCTGTTACATGGTTTATTCAAGCGCCTGAAGACTCAGGTCTCTTCTACCGTATCTATAACTATCTCTAACTCTCTCAGTCTGTAAGTCCTCTCTCTCTTTGGCTCAGTCACTGCCTTTATACTCTATCTTAATTTGCATTTCAAATTAGCCTTCATTACTGTCATGAAACATGCCATGCCTATGTACATTAACTTAATTGTAAATACATTTAAATTAAATCTTGATTTGCATTTTCAATGAACTTCTCTTAAACTGCCATGCAACATGTCATGTCTAAGTATATTTGAATAATTAAAACGTACAAATATATACATATCTGATGTATGCAAATTTAGAAGACTATCAGTTCTAATTAACGGATCACTACAAGGCGAATATCTGCGGCGGAGTGAACTCCCGCAGCAGGACGAGCTGACGAGCAGGACGAGCACCACCTTCGTCCGCGCTTTCACCCTGAGTGTCACAGGAACAAGAAGCGTAATGAGACAGACTATTTCAAAGCAGCTGCTCAGTCCCTGAGACCACTGATTTGACATTCTCTGCGGGACCTAAACACAGAGATCAATATTGCAAAATAGCGGCTCTATGGTGAATGACTGGTGGAAATAGTGTCCTGAAGAAACGTCACGTCACAAAGCACTCTAACGCACAACAATACGTCTATGATGTGTGACGTAGGCAACACCATGACCAGCTGTAGAAAGTTGTAACAAGGTATACTGTAGACTAATATCTACCTTATAATATTTACTGTACACTAGACCTTTGATAAGTCAGTTAAATTGCTGTGAAAACACCAGTACAAATATTACAGAACCGCAGAAAATATTAAGACCCTGCATACCTTTGTAAAAAATCGTTTATTTACAACTTTGAATACACTGTACAAATACATGTAACATAAAATGAAAGATTAAATATATTTACAAACTATACGTAAAGTTATTCAAAATCAATAGAGAAATCGGTACACATTTGGCCACGAGTTGGACGGATACATCAAAAAGTACCAGGTGTAAGAAAAATACAGTTTTTATAATTTTATAACAGAATATTATTATAATGTGACTTTTCAGTGCTTTCAGTTGAATATAATTGCATTGAAGTTTACGAACAAAACTGAGAGAAATAAAATTATTATACTTATAAGTAAGAATAGTTTAGAAAAAGTATTTTGTAATTAGGAAATTGACTGGATCACAAAGGCATCAAGATTTCTTTAAAAATGCAGTTCAATTTGGATATTCCAGCAGATTTTTAAAAAGTAGTAAACAATAAAATAGTACGTTAAATCTGGATATCAAAGTAGGCATTCATTCATTCACTAATATAAAGGTTGTACTCCAGACAAAAATGACACCTCGGTGTGTCTTAGCAGAGAGAAATCAGAACCATAGGGACATCTATAGGAGAAAGGGACAGCAAGTCGTACCCCCCCCCCCCCCCCCC